CTGGCCAGGATTTCTGGGAGTTGAAGTCCAAGAACATCTGGAGGGCCAAGGTTGGGGACCACTGCTTTATCAGATAAGGAGCTGAAGTACTGTATGTTATCTTGGGGTGGGTAAAGGGGTTCAAGCAGAGCTGAGCAGCCATGGCTTTCTAGATACAGTGGTGCCTCGCTTAACGAGCGCACCGTATAACGATGAAATCGCATAGCGATCCGTTTTTTCGGATCGCTAATGCGATCGCTCAAGGGCCAAGGTTGGGGACCACTGCTTTATCAGATAAGGAGCTGAAGTACTGTATGTTATCTTGGGGTGGGTAAAGGGGTTCAAGCAGAGCTGAGCAGCCATGGCTTTCTAGATACAGTGGTGCCTCGCTTAACGAGCGCACCGTATAACGATGAAATCGCATAGCGATCCGTTTTTTCGGATCGCTAATGCGATCGCTCAACGTTTTTTTAATGGGGCAAAATTCGCTTTGCGAAGACCGGTAAGCGTTTCGCTTACCGATCTTCGCACAACGAACCCCGACGATCAGCTGTTCGGTGGCCAAAATGGCCGCCGGAAGCCTGGAAATGGCCCAAAATGGCCGCGCGCAGCGTTTTCGAGCCCTCGTTAAGCGAGGCGAGGGCGCAAAAATGGCTGCCGGCCATCCTGAAGCATCGCTGAATGGTGAGTATTTGGCCCATTTGGAACGCATTAAACGATGTTTAATGCGTTCCAATGGAAATCCCTGCCCCGTTCAGCGATGCTTCAGCATAGCGAAGGTTAATCCGGAACGGATTAACCTCGCTATGCGAGGCACCACTGTACTTTTCAGCCTGCAGCTCCCACCGGCCTTAGGTGAGCACAGTGGATGGTGAACAAGCACAAAAGTGGCAGCCCAGAGACACCATTGCTCACCCTTGGGTTAGATGGTTGCATTTCAACTGGAGAGACAGCGATTCCAATCCCAACTTCACCACAGACCTTCTGGGCTTTGTAGGGTGAGGATGCTGTAATAAGTAAACAGACCGACCTCAGTTGTTGGGTCTCTCTGTAGCCCCCCATTTGCCTCCTCTGATTAGCCGCAGTATTCCAAAATTTGGGGACAAGTTTTCCCGGCCCTGATAAAATGGCCTCCTTTCAGTAACTTAAAAAGATGGAAGAGCGACAGAGTGAATGTTCAGCCTGACCTCAAGCATAGTTCAGTGTTGAAAGACGGTGAAGAAAGGGTGGACATTCTTTCTGGGTGGTCTTCTTGAAAGGAACTGTGCCACAGCACCTGTATTGGGTACCACAGTGGCTTCTGGGTGGTCTTCTTGAAAGGAACTGTGGCACAGCACCTGTCTTGGGTACCACAGTGGCACCTCGACTTACGAACGTCTTAACTTGCGACCAATTCAAGTTATGACCAGTTCTGGTCTCAAAATTTTGCTTTGACGTACGACCGGCGCTTTGAGATACAACCAGAAAAAAAAGAGGCTCCCTCCCTCCTTTCTTGCCCTTTTTTTAACCTTAGAGGTTATCTTAGGTTTTTAAAAAAGTCACCCCCAGTGGACGGATTAACAGCTTTTGCATTAGTTCCTATGGGAACTAATGCTTTGAGACACAACCAGCACTTTGAGATACAACCAAAACATGGCCGGAACGGATTAATGGCGGTTCAATGTATCCCTATGGGAAACGGTGCTTTGAGTTATGACCAACTTGAGTTATGACCATCATCCTGGAACGAATTAAGTTCGCAATTCAAGGCACCACTTGTGTACAGGAGAATACCCCCCACCCTCCTCCATGGCATGTTTACAAAAGGTGGCCTTCTCTTTGGTTGGCCCCTCCATCTTGTCAGGCAAATACCTTTCTCTTCAAGCATGTTTCTGACAACTGAGCAGTGGTGCTGCAAGGAAGTTATTACCAGTTGGGGGCTGCATTTTTCTTTTTTGATGGAAAATTTTAAAACAGTGATTTCAACTGATTTTAAATGTGCTATTCATTGAATTCTACTTTAATCATGGATCTTGCTTTTTGCCCCAAATCTGGTTGCTTTGCGAAGTAAATTGCATTGGAAAAGGCCCATCTGAAATCAGTGAAACTTGGGGGGAATTGACTCACGAAATCCCCACGGGTTCTGTCGGCCTACTCCAGTGCAATTTATTACACTAATTCATAGAATTTTGGCCATTCTTTTTCATTCAAAGTTTGTGAAGGCCATATTGAGTTCAAACTAGGATGGGATGAAATAAAATCTATTTATTAGAAGTCTAATAAACAGATAATGGAACCCTGTGGGTCTTTTAGATGAATGCCTCAGTTTCTCCCAGCTCTTGTCTCTGATTTCATGTCCCGTCTCCCTCACAGAATACACCAAATCAGTGATTGACTTGAGACCAGAGGAGCCTATTGGCGAAAGTGGGGCTCTGGGGGACCGAAGCAAATCCGTTCCGGGTCTCAACGTTGAAATGGTGAGCCTCCGAGGCAGAGATCGGCAAACTCTAGATGTCTGAGGGCCAGATTTCAGCCGTGAAGCCCATGTAAAGATTGTACCAACCCTAAAAGCAAAAACAGAAGTGGACAGTTACATAAAGCTCCTTTCCGGGGTGTTTTGAGGACAGAACAAAGTGGAAAGGGACATATGCCTTATTTTAAGGCTGAATCACTGCTCTTAGAGGAGATGGCCATTTTCCCCCTCCAAAAATGTATATCATTTTGTGTTAGGAGACTGGATCCAGGAAGGACATGAGGCTGCAGAATTCCCACCCTGTCCGTAAGAGAAAGGAAATGAAGAGTCGTAAGGCAGATACTGAGAAATGCCTTTCTGTGTATGGAAATATTCTCACTCATTGGCTCCCACTGTCATAATCTCATCATCGCATTTGCTATCACACACTCTTCTTGTGACTCAGATTCTGTAGCAAGTACCCACGCTGACATCTTACCGTAGTTCTTCACCTTGACATTTATGCTGTTGGGAGTAACACCAGCCTGATAAAGTAGTAGGATCCTGGCCATGGATGATATTAGGGAAGTTTATTAAGCCCACTGAAGTGATAATGAAGAGACATGGAGGGGGAGCAGACCCTTCAGTAGGATTTGCAAAGCCAGGAGAACTCAACTAGACCCGGCACCTGGGTGTCCCACAAAATGCCAATATATTAGTGGAAGGAATGCCCCGTTGGAGAAAGGGCACAGAAGTAGGTCCTTGGCTAAGCTGGTATCCCTTGTATTCTTGGGATGTTGTTGGCCTTTGGAGATCCTCTGCAGACCTGGGACATGGTCACTATTGTTACTATGTCCTAGATCTGCAGGAAGAGCTGCAGGAAGACTCCTTGGAAAAACCCCTGGTGTTAGGAAAGAGTGATAGCAACAGAAGAAGGGGACGACAGAGGACGAGATGGCTGGACAGGGTCATCGAAGCAACCAACATGAATTTGGCCCAACTCTGGGAGGCAGTGGAAGACAGGAGGGCCTGGTGTGCTCTGGTCCATGGGGTC